ATTTAAGGTTAAGAGCCATTCCACGCGTAACGGATAGGACAGTTGCCGTGTTTTTATTTACAAAATAATATTTTTCTATTATATTACTAATGTCAAATTTTTATAAAAAGTTCTAAACTAAAGCTGTTTAACAAGGTTTTTATTTGGCAAAATTAGGTATCGTGGTTGACTGTTTAATTCCTTAAAAACTAATAATTTAAAGCGTAACGGACGGGACTTCGTAATGGTCCCGTCTGTTACGCTTTAAATTATTAATTTTTAAGGAATTAAACAGTCAATCACGATACCTAATTTTGCCAAATAAAAACCTTGTTAAACAGCTTTTGTTTAGAACTATTTATAAAAATTTGACATTGGTAATATAATAGAACAATATTATTTTGTAAATAAAAACACGGCAACTGTCCTATCCGTTAAGCGTGGAATGGCACTTAAATGTAAAGTATACATTTATTAAACAATAATTCTAAGGGTGCCACATTTTATTTAGGGCCGATTTATTCATTTTTGATTTATTTGACGAATAATTTCTTTGCATACTAGATATTGCAAAGACATGAAAGTTATCGGCCAAAAAATACATTAAAGTTAAATAAAATAATTATTTAAATAAAATGGCAACGTATTAAAAGATTAAAAAATGGTAAATTTAAAAAAAATTCAACAAAAGAAAAACTCGTTAAAAGTGAAACAATTTTTTTAACTTAAACAAAATTTACTATTTAATAAATTAACCATTTCAAATTTTTTATGTTTTAATTTTTTTTCATTTTCCACATGTAATTTTAAGTAATATCTTTGGATAAATTTCAAAACCCAAGAACCTTCAGTTGGGTATTTTAAATTTAGAACAAAATATAGTCCAAACATTAACTGCACATTGAAGCAATCTTTTTTTTCAATATAAATATCAAGTTCTTTAGCTGCAACAAAAAAAATATGTAAAGAAGTTTTATAAAAAATGTAATTATACACTTACCTATCTTTACAATACTTCAAACAGTCTAAATCATCATATTCGTCGTATGGAATCTAAAATAAAATATTTATTTAGATAGGAGCACCTATATATATATACTATATATAGTATATATTATACTATATAATATATATTTTATACAATATAATATATATTATATACTATATGCTATACATATACTATGATAAGTTTTTTTATATTTAATTTAAAAATTATACTTACCTACCTTTATTTAAAAAATATCGCTAAAAAGCATTTAACTCTTTGAGAATATTCAACATCACTGCAATGTGATTGTTTAATGTGTACATATATTTTTAAGTTAAGTTAAGAATTCCCTTAAACAATCTTTTCTCAAGGGTTTAAAAAGCGATTTATTATTAAATATATGATATTTTAAATGATTCTTATATCGAATAATCTATGGATCAAACGAACTTACCAAAGTGAAGTTCGATCCTAATTATGAGTTGTCCCCGTTGAAGCAAATAATTTAAGATTTGTTGTAGTACCTCCCTGTAACTGCTCGAGGCCACTTATTTTTAAAGTCCAAAAAACGCTCTTCCCCTTCTTCCGTCCACCAACGGGCAGCCGTAGCCACTCCGTAGTCATTTTCTTTAAAGATTTCAATGTTGTTCTAAAGGGTTGGGCAGGGTGGTAATTATTTGCTTTAACGGGGACAACTCATAATCAGGATCGAACTTCACTTTGGTAAGTTCGTTTGATCCATAGATTATAAGTTGTCCCCGTTTCGCAAATAATTAAAGATTTGTTGTAGTTGTTTAAAGAACGAACAACATTTATTGAACTTGGATAATTATAATACAAAGTTTCCTAACTAGAACACTAATACAGCGCCTGCAAGGTTTTCCAATGTTTTACTGGTCTTTGGTAAAACCTTGCAAACATTTCAGATTTTGTAGACCAGCCGGCAGTTGTTTTTATTGTGTTTATACTAATGCCTTTTCTGGCTGCAGTTGACGTAGCCTGGTACTGTGAGCGGAAAAATGTTTGTATTTATACCACTTTCAGTCAATGTTTCTGTAATGTTCGAGGTGCCAATCGGGAAACGGGGGATTGAAACACAGTCTTTACTTAACACTCCGTATATTGCGTCTCTATATAACTTGGCTCTTTGCTATCTCGTACCACACTGACATGGACAAAGTCCATGTCCCCGTTACTCGATATCCGGGCATGCGCCCTAATACATACATATATTACACCCCTATCCTAATTTTGTAAATACTTATTCGCTCAAATTATCACATTATTTATCACTTGTTACAATAATATTTATTTATGAAGGTAAGTGGGTACTCTATCCTACAATATAAAAACAGTATTATGTAATACATATTTCTTAAAATTAAACGTTAAGACATCACTTTTCAGTTTGTTGACTAGTATATAATATCTACATTAATTATTCTACGTTTACAATAAAATCTGTCAAATGTTTTGGTGCTTTCTTTTCTCTGAGAGACCGACCTGTAACCTGAGGTGCTGGTTTTGGCTCGGATTGGATAGGGGTAGTATGGATTTGTGATGTAACTGTATTTTGTGGTTTATGTTCTCGTTTTTCTGTACCTCTTTGTGGTGAACTCCATACTTCTCGCGTCGCTGCCGTGATGTAAGAGTATTTGGCTGTGTTTTGTAACTTCCCTCTTGATGTTTTCCCAGGCGCTTCTCTTCTTATAATTTGGTTTATGCTTCGTTTCCATTGTTTACCATCCTCCAGTTCGCAAACGTAAACGGACCTTCCTAGTTTTTCTATTATCCTTGCTTTAACCCACTTCATCTTATTCGTTTCTCGATAATCTGTAACCATCACCTCTTCACCCACCTGCAATTCTCTTTTCACCCCTCCGTGCGTCCTTATCTGTCTTTTTTGTTCTTTAAAATGTTTCTCTGGAACTTCTTCTGTGACTTGTTGTTTTTCTTGCCTTTCTTTTATTATGTCCAGTCGAGATCTTAATTGTCTCCCCAACATAAGCTTTGCTGGTGGCTCTTTTGTGCCACAGTGAGGTGTTATCCTATAAGAGAAGAGGAATTCAGATACTATCATGTTTGTCGACTTGTTTCTGTTTGCTGGATCCAGTAGTCTACTTTTAAAATTTCTTTTGAACGTGCCCACCGCGTTTTCTGCCGCTCCATTACTTTCCTGGTTTCCAACCGGTGATGTAATATGCCTGATTCCGTTCCGTTTAAAAAAAAACTGAATATTCTGAGACATGAATTGTCTACCCTGGTCGGTGACTACCGTTCTAGGTAAGCCCCATCTTGCTGCCAGCTCTTTTAACTTTTCCTCAAGTTCTAGCGATGTTAAATTCTTTACTAAAAATATCTCTATCCACTTGGAGTAGGCGTCCACCATAATTAAAAAGTACTGTCTGTTAATTGGACCCAAATAGTCCATATTTATTCTGGAAAAAGGCTCAACTTCTATTCTCCACGGCGTTAAGGTGTTCTTAGGAGGCAGTTTACTGTTTTGCAGGCAGTATATACAACTCTTGCACGCTTTTTCTATCTCTTCATCCATGTATGGCCAATAAACGTACGATCTGGCTAACGCCTTTGACTTGACTACTCCAAAGTGATGAGAATGTATCTCTTTCAGTATCTGCTGTCTCCATACCTTCGGAACGATTACCCGTTGTCCTAGCATTATAACTCCATCCTCTAATGTCAACTGCTCTCTTCTATTCCTATAAGGTCTTAACTCTTCTGGAACTTCCTTTGGCCATTTATCTTGTTTAATGTACTCTGCCACCCTTCTTAGCTCCTCCTCTTTTCTTGTCTCTTCCCGCATTTTATCGTTATTCAGGGGCCATTCCTCTATAGTTTGTGTGAAGTGTAAATACCCCCCCTTATCTTCCTTTATATGTTTTTTTTTTATTGGCAGTCTTGACAAACAGTCCGACACATGGTTGCTTTCTCCCTTAATATGCCGGATCTCATAATCAAAGTTTGAAAGGAAAACCGCCCATCTGGCTAACCTACTGGCATACATTGCTGGAATCTTCTTATCATGTCTAAACAGCCCCACCAAAGTCTTGGCGTCGGTCATTATAGTAAATTTAATACCCTGTAGATATGGATAAAACTTCTGTAATGAGTAATAAATTGCCAAACCCTCCAAATGTACAATTGGGTAGTTTTCTTCACTCTTTGATAGAGTTCTTGACACGAATGCAATTGGTCTCTGAATTCCTTCGATTTCGTGGCTGAGGCATCCTGAAATGCCCTTTTCGCTAGCATCCGTGGTCACGATTAGTGGGAGATCCGGGTTGAAATGGACCAACACTCTGTCTGAGGTTAGCTCCTCCTTCACCTTCCTGAACGCGGTCTCACATTCCTCTGTCCACTCAAACCCCTTGTCTTTTTTTAGTAGATCATATATCGGTTTTAAAATGCCCACCGAGTTTGGTATAAATTTTGCATAATAATTGACCATGCCCAAAAACGTCCTCACTTCTGCCACGTTTTCTGGTTTTGGTGCCTTTAATACTGCCTCAACTTTCTTTTTGCTTTTATATACTCCTTCTTTAGTTATCACATGACCCAGAAATTCCAAACTTTCCTGGAAAAATTTACATTTGCTTTTTTTTAGTGTCAAGCCTGCCTTTTCCAGTCTTTCCAATGTTACTGCCAAATTTTTTTCATGATCTTCTTTGGTCTTCCCCGTGACAATAATGTCGTCTAAAAATACTGCCACATTTTTTATGTCTGCTACCAACGATTCAATGTGTTTTTGAAATGCGAATGATGCGATTTTAATACCGAAAGGTAACCTATGCACCCTGTATAAGCCTCGATGTGTTGCCCAAGTCAATATCTCGCTTGCCTCTTCATCTACCTCAAATTGCAGATATGCTCGATTCATATCCAGCTTGGAGAAGCTCTGTCCCCCTGCTAACTTCGCAAGAATTTCTTCGTGCCTTGGTAGCGGGTACTGCATGTCCACCAGGTGCTTGTTGACTGTCGATTTATAATCCGCACATGTCCTTAACTCACCGTTCTCCTTTAACACACATACAAGTGGCGTTGCCCATTCTGTAGATTGTGTCGGTGATATCACTCCCTCTTTTTCCAGCTTCTCCAGTTCTTCATCAAGTTTTTGTCTATATGCTAGCGGTACATTCCTTGCTTTAGCGAAAACCGGCACTGTTTCTTTCTTAAGATGTAACCTTATCTTTGCTAGCTTGAATTTTCCTAGTTTTTCACTAAAAAGGTTTGGGAATCTTGTCACTATTTCCTCCTGTTCATTTTTAATCCAATTCACTACCCCTAAACCAATACCGAATTCCTCCAGCCAGTCCTGTCCCAGGATACAACAGGCAGCTTCCTCTACAACATAAAATTTTATTACTTTACTTTTGTTTTGGTACTCCACCTCTGTTTTAAAATAACCAAATGGTTTAAAATTAGTGTTATTGTACGATTTCAGGGTTATGTTACTATGTCTTAATCTAAAATGACTAAACCTACGTTCATACAATGTTATCGGCATAGCGGAAATGCTTGCACCAGTGTCTACATGAAATTTCATTAAATAATTGCCTACTTTAACAACTACCTTAAATTTGTTGTTCATAACTGCGTTTTTGTTGTAACTGGTATTAACACTCAACACCCGTTCACAGAACCACACCTTCTCCTCAGCTTCTGCCGAATCGTCGCTTCTGCTATCGTCACTGTTGCCTTCTATGAAATGAAACCTCTTTCTTCTACAATACCGTGCCAAATGATTCGTGGAACCGCACGTCCAGCATCTACTTCGATTTGTTCTTTCTTGTTTATAATGTTTACCTTTATAATCCGCCATCTTGTCTTGACCTTCCCGATCTCGTGCATTTGAACTACGTGTTCTGTCATATTCATTTGCGCGCGCCTTTTGAAATTGCTTCGTTCTGTTTTCGACGTTGTATTTGCGCACTAGGTTTACTTGCGCATGCTCCTTTTCTATGCCCTCTTCTGCTTGCTTTTCCTTGCACTTTGCAATTTCCAAAATTTTATCCAATGTTGCATCATCTTTCTCTTCTATAACCCGTTCGTAAACTTTCCCTTTTTTCATTCCCGTAACCAACTTTAATTTCAAAATCGCCTTCAGGTTGCCTTCAAAACTGCATTCGCTGGCTGCCCCGCAAAGTCTCGCGTAGAAGTCTCCTACTTTCTCTTCTTCTTGCTGGTTTATTTCCATAAAAGTCCTTCTTTCTTTCCACACCGATAGTTTTTGGCAAAAATGTTCCTTCAACAACTTGTTGAGCTCGTCAAACGTGCGTTCTGCGGGTTTGGCGGGAAAGCATAAGTCTCGACATAATTTGTAAGTCGTTGCCCCCATTAAACTTAGCAAAATAGGTACCTGGACTTCCTCCTTGACTGCTTGAGCTTTGAAGTGTTGCTGGAGCCTTTCACTATAAATCTCCCAGTCATCTATTTCCACGTTGAACTCCTGGAACCGGATGTTCGTCGCCATTTTGCCCTGCACGCCGAAAATTTCCTCACTAATTTGTGCCTTCGCGAACTTCTTTTAACTCTGCCCTCGATTTCTCACTCACAACCTCGTCGCCATGTAATGTTCGAGGTGCCAATCGGGAAACGGGGGATTGAAACACAGTCTTTACTTAACACTCCGTATATTGCGTCTCTATATAACTTGGCTCTTTGCTATCTCGTACCACACTGACATGGACAAAGTCCATGTCCCCGTTACTCGATATCCGGGCATGCGCCCTAATACATACATATATTACAGTTTCCTTAATCCATCTACTCAATGTCTGTGATAATGCATTATGATAAGGTTTCTTAAAAGTGATTAGAAGCCTCTGGGCATTCTTATCTCTAACATTTTTGGTTTTTTTCTAAGTAGATCAAAAGGGTTTTTGCTACACAAATTGACGGGCGTTTATCGAAAAAAGGAAGGACCAACGTGGGTTGATATTTATTTCTACCTGATGTCTTTATTTTTAACGGAATCTTAATTGCTATTTTTTCCTGAAAGGTCAATATATTTTCAATTTCAATATTTGAGAGAGTTTGCACCCGTTGTGCGGTTGCCAATGCTAATAACGTAGTCAACTTTTTTCCTAATTTTTCTATCGAAATAGTTTCGTTTTCTTTTTTAGAAAGATAATCTAAGACTATTGCTGGATCCCAAATATTACTATATTTGGGAGGATTGGAACGAATGTTACCTACTCCTTTAAAAAAACCTTTTAATCTTTGGATCAGCACCTACGTCAAAATTCAAAATTTGAGCCAGAGCGGACCTATATGAATTTAATGTTCCGTGGGATATTCCCCTTTCAAACTCAATGGATAAAAACCGTAAAACTAGGTAAGGTGTGCATTCAAAAACCTAAACCTTATTTTCTTTACAAAATAGCCACCATTTTTTAAGACCCCTATTGTACTGTACCAATGTTGCTGTTACTTTAACAACTACCTTAAATTTGTTGTTCATAACTGCGTTTTTGTTGTAACTGGTATTAACACTCAACACCCGTTCACAGAACCACACCTTCTCCTCAGCTTCTGCCGAATCGTCGCTTCTGCTATCGTCACTGTTGCCTTCTATGAAATGAAACCTCTTTCTTCTACAATACCGTGCCAAATGATTCGTGGAACCGCACGTCCAGCATCTACTTCGATTTGTTCTTTCTTGTTTATAATGTTTACCTTTATAATCCGCCATCTTGTCTTGACCTTCCCGATCTCGTGCATTTGAACTACGTGTTCTGTCATATTCATTTGCGCGCGCCTTTTGAAATTGCTTCGTTCTGTTTTCGACGTTGTATTTGCGCACTAGGTTTACTTGCGCATGCTCCTTTTCTATGCCCTCTTCTGCTTGCTTTTCCTTGCACTTTGCAATTTCCAAAATTTTATCCAATGTTGCATCATCTTTCTCTTCTATAACCCGTTCGTAAACTTTCCCTTTTTTCATTCCCGTAACCAACTTTAATTTCAAAATCGCCTTTAGGTTGCCTTCAAAACTGCATTCGCTGGCTGCCCCGCAAAGTCTCGCGTAGAAGTCTCCTACTTTCTCTTCTTCTTGCTGGTTTATTTCCATAAAAGTCCTTCTTTCTTTCCACACCGATAGTTTTTGGCAAAAATGTTCCTTCAACAACTTGTTGAGCTCGTCAAACGTGCGTTCTGCGGGTTTGGCGGGAAAGCATAAGTCTCGACATAATTTGTAAGTCGTTGCCCCCATTAAACTTAGCAAAATAGGTACCTGGACTTCCTCCTTGACTGCTTGAGCTTTGAAGTGTTGCTGGAGCCTTTCACTATAAATCTCCCAGTCATCTATTTCCACGTTGAACTCCTGGAACCGGATGTTCGTCGCCATTTTGCCCTGCACGCCGAAAATTTCCTCACTAATTTGTGCCTTCGCGAACTTCTTTTAACTCTGCCCTCGGATTCTCACTCACAACCTCGTCGCCATGTAATGTTCGAGGTGCCAATCGGGAAACGGGGGATTGAAACACAGTCTTTACTTAACACTCCGTATATTGCGTCTCTATATAACTTGGCTCTTTGCTATCTCGTACCACACTGACATGGACAAAGTCCATGTCCCCGTTACTCGATATCCGGGCATGCGCCCTAATACATACATATATTACAGTTTCCTTAATCCATCTACTCAATGTCTGTGATAATGCATTATGATAAGGTTTCTTAAAAGTGATTAGAAGCCTCTGGGCATTCTTATCTCTAACATTTTTGGTTTTTTTCTAAGTAGATCAAAAGGGTTTTTGCTACACAAATTGACGGGCGTTTATCGAAAAAAGGAAGGACCAACGTGGGTTGATATTTATTTCTACCTGATGTCTTTATTTTTAACGGAATCTTAATTGCTATTTTTTCCTGAAAGGTCAATATATTTTCAATTTCAATATTTGAGAGAGTTTGCACCCGTTGTGCGGTTGCCAATGCTAATAACGTAGTCAACTTTTTTCCTAATTTTTCTATCGAAATAGTTTCGTTTTCTTTTTTAGAAAGATAATCTAAGACTATTGCTGGATCCCAAATATTACTATATTTGGGAGGATTGGAACGAATGTTACCTACTCCTTTAAAAAAACCTTTTAATCTTTGGATCAGCACCTACGTCAAAATTCAAAATTTGAGCCAGAGCGGACCTATATGAATTTAATGTTCCGTGGGATATTCCCCTTTCAAACTCAATGGATAAAAACCGTAAAACTAGGTAAGGTGTGCATTCAAAAACCTAAACCTTATTTTCTTTACAAAATAGCCACCATTTTTTAAGACCCCTATTGTACTGTACCAATGTTGACTCTGAGATTGATGCTAAGCAGATTTTTAAAGATCATTCCAGGATGTTATTTTTTCTTAACCCCTAAAGGATAAGACTCCTGCCACCAGGGTAGTTGTCCTCCAAAGTGGATGGGGTTTCCTGTCAGGAAAAACCAGGAGATCAACATTAGGATAGAAAATCAGTGGTTTGTTTATTAACATAGATTTAAAAAGTGGAAACCATGGCTGTGCCGGCCAAAAGGGAACAAAAAGAATTCCCATAGCCTTGTCTTTTTTAATTTTTTGTAAAACCTTTAATATTAAAGAAAATGCATAAAAATACAGATGAGTCCACTTAATAGTAAACGCATCTACTTGAATAGATTCTGGGTCTTTTAACCCAGAAAAAAAAATCTTACATTTTTTATTTAATCTTGAGGCAAATAGATCAATAGCTGGAGAACCAAACATGTTTACTATTTCTTTAAAGGCATAATCTCCCAACTCCGACTCCGTTTCTTTTGACAAAGATCTACGAGATTCCTGATCTGCTTGAGCATTATCTTTAGATTTAATATATGAAGCAAAAATAAAAATGTTTTTTGATTCGCACCAATTCCAAATTTCCCGCGCTAAGCTGTTTAATTTTGGATACTGAACACTGCCCATTCTATTTATGTAGGCTATTGCCGTTGTATTATCTATACGACAGAGTATATTTTTATTTTGTAAGTGTTCTGCAAAGCATCTTAAGCCAAATAAGGCTGCTTTTAATTCCAAAAAATTTATATGCTCTTGTTGTTCCTCCCTAGACCAGAAACCATGTGTTTTTCTTTTTCCGCAACAAACCCCCTAACCGGTTGTAGATGAGTCTGAAAATATTTCTAAAGAATATTCTAAAATCCCTATATCATTATAAGCTGTCAAAATTTTACTATACCACCACTGAAAATCTACTTTAAGACTAACAGGAATATACATTATAGCATCGTAATTATCTTTAAATTGTCTTAACGCTAAAAATTTAGCTCTTTCAAAAAAGTTTGTATGCAACCAGCCATATTTAACAGCTGGACAAACTGAAACTAAAGTGCCTAAAAAAGTTGCAAATTCTCTAATTTTGCATGTTTTAACGCTAGAAACTAATTTATAAATTTTTAACCGTTTTTCTGGTGGAAGGTCCCCATTGTTTTTGTATTATAAATAAACCCCAAAAATCTGCACTCCTGACTAGGAGTTAAAGTGCTCTTTTTATAATTTATAATAAGACCTAAGGATTCAAGGATTTTAATAGTGAACACTATATTATTATTACACTCTTTAAAAGAATTGCCTAATAGTAAAAAATAGGATACTGAAAAAAAACCTCTTTCTCGTAAATGAGCTAATACAACTCGCATTACTTTGGTAAAAATGAATGGAGCACAACTCAAACCAAAAGGTAGACAATTGAATTGAAATAGTTTGCCCTTAAATTTGAATCTTAAAAATTTTCTATCACACTCTCTGATAGATAGCAAAAAATATGCATCCTTAAGGTCTAAATTTGCTAAAAAATCATTTCTTTCAATTAGATTTTTTGCAATTTTATAATCTTCCAATTTAAAATGATTATACTCTACAAATTTATTTAACTCTTTGAGATTTAAAATTAAACGATTGCTACCATCTGGTTTAGGTACCAAAAAAATGTTCGAGATAAATTGATTTTTACACTCTGAAACGGAGGATACTGCTCCTACCAAAATTAAATCAGACAAGGAATTTTCCAAGTCCCTAAGCTTCTTAGAGGACCACTTTTTGCAATTTTATAATCTTCCAATTTAAAATGATTATACTCTACAAATTTATTTAACTCTTTGAGATTTAAAATTAAACGATTGCTACCATCTGGTTTAGGTACCAAAAAAATGTTCGAGATAAATTGATTTTTACACTCTGAAACGGAGGATACTGCTCCTACCAAAATTAAATCAGACAAGGAATTTTCCAAGTCCCTAAGCTTCTTAGAGGACCACTTAGGTTCAACATTAATATTTATTTGGATTGGTTTTTCAGCAAAAGGAATTTTTATTCCTTTAATCCAAGACAAAACAGTTTTATTGTCTGTGAAATTCTTCCATTCTCTATAAAAAAAAAATATTCTGCCTGCTGATCTACTTACACTTATTGATTCCTGTAAAATTTCTTCTGGTTCTGGTTCCTCTTGTAAAATTCGGGCTTCTCTTTGCGACGGTTTCTTGGTTGGAAGGGTTGGCTCGTTGTTTGTTGGTCTGACGCCAGTCTCGGCGAGCCTTTAGTATTTGAGACTGGCTTTTCAAGTTTAAATTCTGTTTTAAAGGCGTCTTGGGTTTGGTCAATTTTAACTCGTCACTAAGTTTTTCTATATTTTTAGATGTCTTAACTCTTTCGTCTAGCTTTTCACCAAAAAGCCAATCACCTACTTCTGCATTATTTAATGTTGTTTTCATCTCTTTTTTTAAATTCAAAAA